TGTTTTATAGGCAAAGAACTAGAAAAAAGACAAACAAATAAAAAAAATTAATTTATATATGCACATGCGAGGCCTGCCACAACAGGCCTTGCATGTGCATGGCTTTGCCTTGCCAAAAAAAATAAAAAAAACAAAATTAGTGTTGTTGCCGCAATTGCGATTGACAACATATATGCACAGCAGGCCTTGCATGTGCATGGCTTTGCCTTGCCTTTTGGCAAGGCAAATCACATTCTTTTTTCCTGCGCGTGGCGCGCAGGAGAACGACCTAGCTAATTTTATCAAAAAGTAAAATGTCATATTTTGTGTTTACTATATTCTTCTGTTCACTAAATATAAAAGTTAAATCTTTTTGTCAAACAATAGAGACCTCAAATTATACTGCTGAAGGAAGGACAGACACATCCCAAGGAAAAGCAACATAAATGCATGTATGGCTGTGGCTGATGTAGTGTGGACTACTCTCGGCCCAAGGGTATGACAAGCTGATCCATGATGAGAAGGGAAAAACTACCATATCGAATGATAGGGCCCACCATAATGAAGCTTATTGACATCATTCACCCTAATGTGAAGATTCTCATCGATATTGCAAAGTCATAAGACTCCGAGGTATCAATGTCTTTCGAATTTTGGTGTCGATTCTCATCCTTTACATACCATTCCCTTCAAAAAAATGTGAACTACTAGCTTATATGTTTTCTCTACAAGATAAATGCCCAAGTGCTTTATTCATTTTTTGGAGCAAGTCGTTTTTTGTAAGTTTTGACAATTCATAAATTAGGAGTGTGAGTAAATGAGGCTTGCTGTAATTTTTGAAGACAATTACCTCGACTTATTAGTATTAGTTCGTAAAAATAATATTGAGGGAACTTTTCCTTGATAAGTTTAAGAGATCTACAACATTTGAGCTTTGACCTGTGAGCTGAAAAGATGAATAGAAGAAGAAGGAGAAATCTACTGGAATGAATTAATTCATTAATGTTACAGTGCAAAACAAGCAATCTAACTTTCTATATAAAGCAATCACCATAATTAAGGACTACAAAAGGAAAACCAATATTTTCTATCAATACAAATCATAAAACATATTCGACTTTCCAACACTCTCCCTCAAGTTGGAAAGTGGATGTCTTGTACTCCCAACTTGCGAACCATAGGTATGAAGAACTCATTTCCCAAAGCTTTGGTCAAGACATCAGCTAGTTGATTTGTAGAATTCACAAATCTTGTCTCCATAGAACCATCTCGAATCTTGTCTCTTATAAATGACAATCCATCTCTATGTGTCTTGTACGTTCATACAAAAAAAGGATTTGCTGCTATGTGTAATGCAGCCTTATTGTCACAATACAGTAAGGCAGTCTCTTGATGTAAAAACCCCAAGTCTCCGAGAAAATAACGAAGCCATGTCAATTCACAACAAGCTCATATCATTGCACGATACTCTGCTTCGGCTGAAGAAAGGGAGATTATTTTCTGTCGCTTCGATCTCCATGAAATTAGTGAGGGGCCTAGAAATACATAGTACCCTGTAGTAGACCTCCTCGTAAGTGGACAACCTGCCCAATCCGAGTCACAGTAGGCCCGCAGTCGAAGATCATTGGTTGAGGAGAAGAAAAGGCCTTGGCCAGGGGCAGATTTCAAATAACGCACAACTCGCAAAGCTACTTCCCAACGATCCTTTCGAGGTTGATGCATAAACATGCTCAATATATGGACATAGTACATAATATCCAGCCTTGAAATTGTGAGGTATATTAATCTCCCAACTAATCGCCTATATGGCTCTGGATCTTTGAGTGGCTCACCCTTATCAGACAGTTTTAAACCACGGTCCATGGGAGTGTTGATGGGAGCTACTTCCAATAACCCTGCATCCTTAATGATTTCCAATGTATACTTTCGTTGAGAAATAAAAATGCCATTCTTAGATGTAGAAATCTCAATGCCAAGAAAGTACTTCAAGTTACCAAGATCTTTAAGGAGAAATTTATTCTGTAGGAACTTCTTGATATAGGTTACACTCACGGATCATTGCCAGTAATTAAAATGTCATCAGCATATATCAAAAGAGCAGTAAAGGACTTGCCTTGCTTCCTCATGAATAGAAAGTAATTAGCTTTTGATTGTACAAACCTAGCTGAACGGATGGCCTCGGAGAATTTAGCAAACCATTGGCGGGATGCTTGTTTCAACCCATATAATGACTTGTGGATGAGACAAACCAAGTGTTCCCCCCCTGTCGCCGAAGCCCTAGCAGCGGAGACATGTAGATTTCTTCGTGGAGGTCCCCATGGAGAAAAGCTTATTAACATCGATTTGATGAAGGGACCAGCCTTGGGCAGCAGCTAAAGCCAACAAACAACGAACAGAGATGATCTTGGCTGTTGGAGAAAAAGTATCCTGATAATCAATCCCCTCAAACTGAGTGAAACCTTTTACCACAAGTAGCGCTTCGTATCACTCGATGGATCCATCAGACTTAAGTTTGATCCTGTAAACTCAACGACAACCAATGGGAGACTTACCAGCTGGAAGAGGGGTGAGAGATCAAGTGCCATTGGCCTGAAGGGCCTGCAATTCGGAGTGCATTACCTCCGCCATACCGGATGAGCGGGGGCCTCCGAATAAGATCTGGATTCTGTGATATTACCGAGTTGAGCAATAAAGGATCTGTATGTAGGATAACGTGTACCTTTGGTCGGACCTAGAATGGAGAAAGGCGATTAGCGCGAGTAAATGTTGGAGCAGACATAATTGTTGAGCTTTACTGGCGAAGTGGTGTGGCGGCTGGAACGGCGAAGTGGCTCATGTGGTAAAGTGGGGATTTCGGGCGAGGGTACAGGTGCCGGGAATGGTGGACCAGAGGTGACTGGGTCAATGGTAGTTTATGTTGCAGGAGACGGAGGAACTGTGCGATCGAGAGAAGATGGAGAAGATTTGGGGAGAATTGGGTCGAAGGCCGAGTGAGTGAGGGCAAGTGAGTCAGGAGTCAATAATGGCATTGGGCCTGGAGAATGGACTGAAGGAGATGTATCAGAAATGGATTGGACAAAGGCATATGGAAAAATATGTTCATGAAATCTTACATTCCGACTAGTGAAAACTCTTTTGGATGATAGATCGAATAGTTTATATGTTTTTGGCCGATGGAATAGTCGATAAAGACAGAAGGCATAGCACGACGATCAAATTTGTGAAATGTGTGAACGTTAGTGGCATAAGCAAGACAACCAAATACATGGAGATGAGAGTAGGATGGCGGTTTTGAATAAAGAAGTTCGAAAGGAAATTTGAAGGAAAGAACCGGTTAAGGTAATCGATTAATGATGTAGACAGCAGTAAGAACACATTCGTCCCAAAATTGTGAGGAGAGCTGAGCATGAAATTTGAGAGCACGTGCCACCTATAGAATATGATGATGTTTGCGTTTCACTACCCCATTTTGTTGAGGGGTGTAAATACAAGAATGTTGAAAAATGACGCCATTATCGTGGAAAAAGAACGGAGTGAGATAAACTCCCCACCATTGTCACTTCGAAGAGTTTTGATGCGAGTTTCAAATTGAGTAAGTACATAGTTGAATAAGCATTTTAAATGTAATTGTGCTTCATTCTTGTGACACATTAAAAATATCTATGTGAAACGTGTATAATCATCAACAATGGTAAGAAAGTAATTAGTACCAGAAAGAGAAGGGTGTCGATAATGACCCCAAATATCACAATGTCTAATATCAAATGGTTTTGTAGAGGAAATAATACTAGTACCGAAAGGTAAACAACTCTGCTTAGCCAAAGGACAGATATGGCAAGCATTATTCGACTCAACGGAAAAATTTTAAAAATTCCTAGCAATGAAACTTAAGCGAGAGGGCGAGACATGGCCTAAGCGACTATGCCAGAGGTCGGTGGATGAAATGGTGATGTTGCAGGCTAGTCGGTTTACGTTTGAGGAAGGTTTGATGGAAGATTTCTTCGTAGCCAGTGCTATTAGATAGTATATTCTGTCACGTTGTTTACCCAAACCAATCGTCCTCCTCGTATCCAGATCCTGCAAAATACACCAATAAGGGAAAAAGGTCACTGAACAATTTAGACCTCTTGTCAAATGACTAACTGACATCAAATCAACTTTGAATGTAGGCATAGATAATACATCATGCAAATAATATACGGAATTAAGGCAAAGACCATTTGGCAACAATATTCGCCTTTTCTCCGCTAGGCAACAATATGGGTGGTAAAGAGCAATTTTTATCTTTTTACAACAATGTAGATGATGAAGCAATGTGATCATTCGCCCCACTGTCAATAATCCAGTTGCGAGAAGTGACTTTAGACAAACCTGGCTTGGTGACTGCATTTACTTTAACTAGAAACCTCATCGTGATTGTTAAGAAGTCATAAAAGTTGCTTGAGTTGGGCTTCTGATAATGAAATGCAGGTTTCCCTTCATTGTTGTGTGGCACCTCCGATACCTGGTTAGCCACAGAAAACCTCTTATGCGGATTTGGATTTTGTCCTTAATTAATTCTTGCTTTGGGATGACCCGGTGGATATCCATGTAATTGAAAACACTTTGGGATCCAATGCCCAATCTCTCCGCAGTAAGTACACTGAGGTTGTCCCCTTCTTGATCCAGAACGACGTCGATCCTGATCATAGCGTCCCTCTCCATGTGCAGAAGAAGAACAGTCTGATCGAACGTCCGGTACCTGAGATGAATGAACTCCTGGGCAATCTGCTCCTGTCGAAAATTGCATTTTTCCACCATTGTTGTGACGCACCGCCATAGCAGCGCTCCTACCAATGTCGGTTGCCGTTTGTGTGGCACTAAGGAGTCTTTTTTTCTCTTCCTGAGAAACCAAATAATAGGCTTGACGGATTGAAGGGAAAGGATTCATCAGAAGAATTTGTCCACGAATTGCACTGTAAGTTTCATTTAAACCCATTAAAAATTGCATCAATTTCTGCTGATATGCCTGAGCTTCATGTACGGTGTCTGAAAAAGAAGCCAATTCATCCCATAAGCCATTCAATTTGATGTA